GTTCCCCTTTACTCAACACTGGTTAGGTCTCATCTGTCCTGTTCTTAGCAGTGTAGTTTAAGAAAGATGTAAACAAACTGGAAAGGGTTCAGAGGAGGACAACAAGAATGATCCAGGTAAATAAAACCCTATGAGGAGGGTATGAAAGTACTGGGCATGTTTAGTCTTGAGAAGAGAAGATTGAGTGAAGCTATGATAGCACTCTTCAAGTATTTACTCATCCAAGAGTGGAGGACAAGTTACATAAAGCAAGATTCTGACTGACCAACAGGAAAAACTTCTAGACTGTTGGAGCAATGCAACAATGGAAACAATTATATAGGGAGGCTGAGGGCTAGACAGGCATCTGAGAGGGATGGTTTAACCTGGAGTCCTGCACGGAGCAGGGGACTGGACCCAGTGGTCTTCTTGGCCCCTCCAACTCTATAATTCTATGATTCTATAAAATAAAATTAAGTATTTTTGTAGCTAAACTCTTCTTTTATGTATCAGAAACATCAGACAGTCTGTTGCATCATCCAATAATACATAATGCTGAATTAATTTATTTATGCTGTTGCTAAATTCTAAATTTTAATTCAAAAATTAGTTGAGCCCTACAATTCAATTTTTGTATTCAATAACTATTATAGTACAGGCAAGGCAAGGGCACTGTAGGCAAAGTAGAGATTGCTATTCCGCTAAAACACTACATTGTTTTTTTTTCTAGACAAAAAACAAAAATTGTTCTAATACTGATGACTTCACTCATTAGAGGGAATTTAAAAATCATTAGACGAGCTGAAATAAGCACTTGACAGATCTCAAGTTTGATGATGTCAAACAAAGAAGTGTATTAAGATGGGCACTCTTCTATAAGATTTAAATGTATCTTTTATCATATCAGTCCTAAATTACTAGACATAGCTTTAATTGTGTGAATGAATTCTGTGTATGAATTAATGCCTTCCTCACCACATAAGAAACTTCCCTGGTTCCAAAAAAGCAACGGCTCATTTTTCCCAATGTAAATGGCAGCTTACTAGAGGTTAAACGTTCTTATTCCACTCTGTGGTTCCAATGGTGCTGAAGCTGCTTCCTGATTGCTTTTTGCTAACAAAAATGAATAATTGATTGCATTTGCACAAATAATGTCATTTCTGTTTCGGTTCATAGTTCTATCATGAATAATCTAAGTATCAGCCCTTCGCAGACATTGACAGTTTATGCTAATACAGGAAGTCCTCAGGTTACAAACAGGTTCGATTCCTGAGAACATCTTTAAATTGAATTTGTATGTAAGTTGGATCACATTAGTAAGCCAAATGTTGGTCTTGAAATACATAGTATACATAGATATTTTACCCTTCTGTATATGTAAAACACTTAAGCAACACTTTCATATATAGTTGGTCCTTCACATTTGTGGGAGTTAGAGGTACAGGAACCCTGAAAACATGGAAAATCTCTACCCCCTTGCTTCAAACCTTAACTGTTAATACTGTTGATCGTAAGTGTACTGAATTGCTTCCCCCTCTCTCTCACTCAGACCTTGGTCTGACCCAGCAGGACTCCTCTTCTTCATCTATTACATTCTTATGTTCTTATTCCCTACCCGCCCTTTCACTCACCAGTGCCACCTCTTTGCACCAAGGACATGCAGGAGAGATTTCCCTCTCTGGATGGGCAGGGTAAGAAGGCATGCCTTGGAAGCAGTTCTTCTCTTCCCTTTCACTTTCCCTCTCTCTACAGTGATAACAATTTTCCACAGTAGGCTACAAAACTCCAAAAGTTCTCACATTTGTTACTACAAACCATTTGTCTTTAACTTGAATTGTTGAATTAATAGGCTTTATGGCAGTTTGTTCATAAGTATAGATGTTCAAAACTTGGCTGTTTGTAAGCTGAAAGCTGTCTATATTTCCCTTCTCAACCTTTTTAATGAAGTACAGAAGGACCCCTATATCCACTGTCTCACTTTCTACAGTTTCACTTATTCAAGGTTGACTGTCGGCCCTCCACATTCATGGGGGCTGGGGTGTATGACCCTCATAAAAGTGAAAAAAGGCAGTTATCTCTAGGGAACTATGCACTCTGTCTGGGGAAACCAAGCTCGCTGTCTTGGGACAAGCCAGCCTCACTCATGTGTTTGACTGTCAGTGGGTGAGAAGACTCTAGAGGTATTCACATTTTTTCTATTTTTGCCAGGGCCATGCACCCATAACTCCAGTGAATGTAGTGTTCAGTATTATCCGTGGTTTCAGGTATCCACTGGGGGACTTGCAAACTATCCCGCAAAGATATGGGAGTCCTGCTGTATAAGACAAGTTTTTTAAGGCTTCGCTTCAAATACGAATCTTTGTCTAAAAACAAATATTTTTAGTGCTAAACAAGTGCTACCAACACTTGTGCAGTATATTTCAAGAACAGGAAAGAGACACTGATATGGGGTCAGATGTGTGGACTAGCTGTAGTGCTGGGAAGGAGATAGAAGAACACTGTTAGCAATATATAAATTAGAACATGGCTGAGGGACTCAGTTTGTTGCTTATGCGATATAATCACATTATATACGCCACCCAAACTAGAAAGGTGCTAGCTTAGGGTAGAAATGTAGAGATTTCCCTGTAATATATTTATTTGAGTATTTTAATAAAATTATGTGTTCATATCAGAGGAACACTTGGAGGGGCTAACAGTTTCGAATTCTCATTTGGCCATGAAACTCACTGGGTGAGTGGGCCAGTCACTGACTCTCAGCTTAAGCTACTTCACAAAGTTAATGTGAGGATAAAATTGACAGAAGAAGTATGTATACAGCATTGGACCTTTTGCAAGAAAGAAGGCATATGAACTTAACAAATAACTAATTTTTAAACATGTGGATTTTCTGGAAAAAGTAGTCAACTGTGCATTTGTTGTGTAATAAGGCTATCATCAGGTATGACCTAAGAGCCACACTCCTCTTAAAGAATTGAAAGAGCTTAAGAGAGAAATCACAGACATCTCAAACTCAAATTTTTGAAGGAAGTCTTATCTATGCCAACATGAGTTATTTCCAACTGATTTATGTGCGAGTTGATTGCCATTGTGAATAAAAGCAAAACTTTATGACAAAATCTAGCTTTCCTAATACAATGGGAGTGCCTTCCTGCATTTTACAAAAGACTCTGAAATGCACAAATTCAGTGTAAATTCACACATTTGTTTTTTATTTGACACATATTGACTTTACCAGCTCACAACATTGTAGATGTTCCAAAGTGACTATCTCAAGGACATTTTCAAGTTACTTTTTGTCATGTAAGAACTGAATTACATAAATGATTCTTTGCATGATATGCTAAAGTCATGTCATGAAGACTTTTGCAACTTCCGAAACATGTACTCCGGTGTAAGAAACAGGCAAGAGTTTCCATTTTCAATTTTACTCTAAGTAAGCTAGCGTTGGAGAGTCTGGATTCTTTAGCTGCTCCTGATAGCAGGAGCAGCCAAAAAGGAGGAACTGAATCACATGCACTAGCATGCTGGCTAGCTCACAGCAGTACATAATTAAACAAAGCTCTAAGTTGTTGCAGCATGTGTACCATGCCATGAAGTTAGCTTCTATTGACTTGGCTGCTTGCTCTGAAATCTAACTTTATAAACAGTGGAATAAAAAGTTCTATTCAGGACTGCCACAACCAGGAAAAAAAACTCTTTGTCCATGAGCTAAATGTGCTAAATTAGAAACATCCATTAATTGCTTTGGTACTATCTTTCTTGCCTCTCACAAAATGCTACAGAATCTTCTACATTCTAGAATAAAATTGAGGTGCAAATATATTTTGAGTATCCCCTTCCCCACACTTATCTTTGTTTCTTGCAACTGTGAGATTCCTGAGAACTGATATTCTTAGTCCCATTTGGTTTTGGATAAGAATTTCTGCTGCTGTTAAAAAGGGAGAGGCCCATCTCCTTTAGAAGTTGGCAACTGTAATCTATTCTATCAGGAATAGTAAACTTTTAGTGATAGAATGAGTTTCTGTTAGTGGTTGATTTAAATAAAAACCTAAAGGAGAGAATGGCTTCTTATAACAAAGACATGTAAAATTTCAACTTGCTTTTTTCTAGGGAGAAAAGCAAAGCCACACAGTGAAGAATTCAATTCGTTGGGAAAGTTCTGTTGCACGAGCTGTATTAATGTATGAAAATTATGAAGCGGTCTTAGGCTGTCATACATAACTATTCATGTAGCCCAGGATTTGTCTATGTGGAACTTTCTTCATGTAAAGCATCTGCCCTACCACTAACTATGGAGCCTCTTAAAGAAATACACATAGTAATGAGTAAACTGTATGTCACCTGTAAACAAGCCAGAATACTAACCTGGTTCCTTAACAATTAACTGTAAGAAAGCTCCAACATGAAGACTGTTTCATATTCAAAATAAAATAAAACTTTTTATTTCTTTGTGTGCTTTAACTGCCCTAAGGCACAAAGGGTACTCTTCCCATTTTACTGTAATTTCAAATGCTCTTATGAAATCATAAATTCAAACCATGATCAGATTTGTTGTTCTGTCACTTAAGTGATCTTTATAAGCTATTCTGTGAATTTCTCTCAAATTCAAAGCTTACTTAAAATGTTTTAAAGGAATGCTTTTTCTTTTGTGTGCTTCTTTGAAGAGAGCTGGCACAATCAAATAAGTCATTTGTTGCCATCTTCTCTCCTATCAATATTGCAAAGTGGTTAATTAAATGTTGTATAGACTGCTTGTGTAACTTACTTCTGCAAGCCTAAACCCAATTATTTGGGAGGAAACTCAATTGAATTAAGTGGGACATAGTTCTGTGTAGACATGCGTCAGATTGCAGTGTAAAGTGATCAAAACTAGATCTTGCTTTCTCCTCAAAATGTTGCATTAATTGAAGTTGTTCAACAAGTATTGTCATGTTTAAAGAATAAGAGTTGCATAAATATAAAAATGAAATAGGTGTATGTGGGAGGGACGTTCATTTCACACATACAGAAAGACTTACCATTCTCACTGTCGGACTTGTTTTCATGCTCGGTATCTGTTAATGTGAGGGCTGAGTTGGAACGGCTTGAGAGACAGGAACTGCGGCCTGATTTGACCCCCCTGCCCCAAAGTCTCATGGCATGCTCTGGAGACATCACTCCTTCATTTTCAGTATCAGCATCTGACCCTGCACTGATAGAGTAACCTCTGTGGGGAAGCCCCATTTCAGCACAAAATGCCAGTCCTCTTCGAGTTGCTGGTTCACAAACTCCTAACTGCCTTAGGGTAAAATTCTGTCCTAATTAGGGAAGAAAAAGATAACAAAACATGAGAAACAATTTTGTGCTTTTTTGTTTGAAACAGAATCCTTAAAATAAACAAACAAGTTTTTCCAGGAATATCATATTGTCTTTCGTTAAACTTCACACCAGCTAGGGTCAAGTGTACCCTTTTTGTCTCTGTAATGACCAGTTTTATTCCCTCAGTATTAGCCAGTCTTTATCAACTACTTTAGTCTATCAGGAGTTCTTTAGGGTAGAAAAATACAGAAATATGTGTAAATGAAGAGTTAATTCACTAGGTTTAAGGAAACTGAAAGAAAAAACTTATATTGTGTCAGAATTATTGGCTGCATACTGATCCATAGTATAGATCTAGGGAGCAATGCCATCATATTGCTATAACTGTAGTGTTACCAGGGCTCTGGTACTCCTCCTGCGCGAACTCGGATCAGTGGTTATGTGAGGCAGGGATTTTTCAATGGTGGTACTAAGATTATGGGATGCTTTCCCCTACAGAGACTTTCCAAGCTGCTTCTGTTTTAGTCTGCTGATAGTCTTCTCATTTTAACATATATTTAATTTATGACATTAGCTTGTCAGTTTGTTGTCTAGTGCATTTTATCTGGTTGCAGATTTATCTACTTCAATTATTGTGTTATACTTATTTGTACTGTTTTCTTATCTAATCATTTGATTTTTTGTAAGCTGTTTTATATGTTTTTAATTGAAAAGTGCAGTATACATTAATAAACACGTTTCTGTAGGTATGTTCTAACATGCAATCTAGAGAGCTTCTTGGTTTGTTTTTGTGTGTACATCTCAGAAATATGGAACCAAGTACAATAAAAAACAATAGGGATCTAAAGGACTACATACACAGAAGAATGAATGGTTCATGCAATGTAAAAGGAGTTAATGCCCCAGACCTTGACAGCTTTCAAGTGTGCCAGTTAATTACTTTATTGCTGTGGTCATATCAGTTGTTGCAATCAGTTTTATCTCAGTCAGAATTGTAAATGGATTCTGACTACGACACTCATAAATAATGAAAAACAGTTGCTGCAATTAGCTACAAATCAAATAGTACTTATCATTGAGTTCGTGAATAAATAACAGAACAAAAATGCATGGAGGGAGGAAAGGGAACTGTCACAGCAGTAAATAGCCATACTGGTGAGTAAATTGTGTGAAGGCTATTAGAGAAGATGAATCAGTAAACAATCAACTGTTTAAATAAGAACCATGCTATGAAGCTTATCAAAGTTTGTGCAAAGACTGAAATCCATGATTCCCAGTGCATTACTGAACATTTACACATCATCAGTGCAATTTAGCCATTGGGCAATATTCCTAAGTTCAGAACCATTAAGAACAATGGTGTCTGGCTGCAGCGGAATGAGCAAGAAAATGTTTCCATACATGCATAGACTAAATTTTGTATGAAAATTAATTCAATTAGAAAAAAATATTTTTGTCTAGGATGAACAATTAGTTATCATTATTATTTATTGAATTGTATTGGTTTAAAATGGTTTTAGGCTGCCTTTAAGGGCACAACACTCTCAAGGTAGCATAAAAGATGAAAAATACAGAACAGAAATAAAATTAAATAGCTACATATTCTTTAAAAGTCAGTAAATGCTGAGATCACTAATTGAAAAATCAATAAAAGCAAAACACTACTGCAAGTGTATCATGGTGGCCTACTTTCACTGAAACAAGAGTGAACTTGCTTCAAAAATACTTCCTGGGACAGGAGTCCTCCTAAGATAGCATGTAACAATAAAATGATAAAACCTATAACAATTACTATAGTAATGAAACAGCAAACTTTCTATAGAACAAAATATGCATAAGAAAGCACCTACAATGCATAACTGCAGCTAAAGCCCAGTCTGATAAACAGAGGAAGACCAAAGTAACAAGAAAAGTTTCAGGGTCTTCCTAAGACTGCAGTGAGAGAGCCGAACACACCTCCAGTGGCAACACCGTCCAGAAGTGTAGGGTCAAATGCAGAATGCACCTCTCTCTTGGACTCACCTAACTGCCCCCTCTCTTTCTGATTTTAAAGTGCAGGAAGTCTGAAATGGATGAAGGTGGCCCTTCAAATAATTTGCATTTTAAATTGGGCTTTGAAAGACACTGATAACCAGTGCACCTGGTGCAGTATCTGTTGCATAAGGCAACAGTATTTTTGCTAAACAGAAACTGGAAATTTATCACCTAAAAATCTACCATAGGGAAAGGAAGATTTATAGTACAACATAACATAAGAAAACCATGCTGGATTAGACCAATGCTGCATCCTGCACATCAGGTTCCACGGCATCCCTCAAGTAGGAATGGTACAAGAGTTCTGCCTGTCCAAGTACCTCAGCAAATTGTTTATGCAGGCATTCCACCTCTGATAATATAGGTGGCCCAAAGCCAACAAGGCTAGTAGCCAGGGATAGCCTTCTCCTCCATGAATTTGTCCAATTCTCTTTTAAAGCTATCTAAATTGGTGGCGACCACTGCTTCTGCATCCTTTCAGGAGGTCTATAAATCCTTGAAGTCAAAGGCTTATCCACATCCAGTGCAGAGTTGACAGAATGGTAAAGGCAATGTTTGCCTCTAGCTTAACATTTTTACTAGACAGGCTTTTTCACCTATCTGTGGAACACTGTAGAGGGGAGGGAAGAATGCTGTGGCTTAAGGACACCTCCTATTGGGAACATTCCACTCTCCTCCTACCCACCAAGCCACTCCTTTTACCCCTCTCTGAGGTTGTTTTCCCTGTCACTGGGGAGCAGCTGGCATAGCTTCTTTTGGTTGGGAGCAGGGTAAGAGTTCCTATACCCAGCTCTGAAGTTGGAGAGTTGGGAATCCAAAATATCCTATGGCACCTCAGACAATAGCTTGTTTCCTCCACCATCCTATTATGCTTTCAGCTTAGACAAATCTCTGTTGAAGATTCAGTTGATGAGTTTGCAGAAATGAAAGCAAGTATTATATTGTTATATTATATTGTTATATTAATCACTATTGTTATATTAACTCACTTTTGTTTTAATTATGCAAATATTTGCATAATTTCTGTTATTAATAATCATAAATAATGTTTGCATTTGATATCTAATTTGCTGAGATTGCAAGATATTCCTTTTGTATTATTTTGAAGTAGATTAAGCAAGATAGATAATTAAAATTCTGAATGTCTAATCACTAAATAGGTAAACCATTGCCTGACTAATTGATTGCCATTCACGGTTACTAATTAATATCACATAATTAAACTATATCATACATTTATTAAGTTGATATTCAATGTAGTTCTATAGACAGTATCTGTGGGGGAATACACAGGGAAGACCTGAAGGGTATGCTTAAGCCTGGGACCTGGTCCCATCTCTGTGGCTCAGAGGACATACAGCTGACAGTAAAATTCACATTTTACATCCAGACTGTAGTAGGTGCCTCAGAGAAAAACCAGTATATGAGGGAAGCAGTGAAAAAGGCTAGGCTAAAAGAAAAACCCTCTAGGTAAAATGACTGAGTACCCCAACTAGCTCCAAATTCCTAGGAAATAATGTAGGAAAAGTACATGTGGAACCCAAGGACATGAGCAAAGATCACACTATGAAGCGAATGCATTTTTCTCCCTAAACAGCGACATAGTATATTGCTCCTTCACTTTTCCCAATCACCCTTCAATACTTGAAGAGAATGGGTAGTCAGGAGATTTGGGTGAGAGACAAAATGTTCAACCAGTTCACCATATACTCAGTTGTAATAATTTCTGTATTTTTAATTACAATTTTATTTCATATTTGATTCTATCCATTGCTTGGAAAATCTTTTTTAAAACTTTACAAAACAAACAGAACACATTCACTTCACCTGAAGTTTATTATCCACTGCATTTTTAATTAGTCATCTCTGTAGAAGTACAATGCTAAAATGTACTGTAATAAAACTTCAGTAGGTAGTTGGGATTAATGGCAGTCCTTTAGGTTGCAATTCTATGGCTTCTAGACAGAGTCTAGCTGGGCACAGGAAAATTCAGTTCCCGCTGAGCAAGAATGCCCTATGAGGTTGGAGCTGAAACTCTAAATTCAGAACACACACCATCCACTATCACTAATCTGGAAAGAACTGTGCCAGCTGTAGTTCCAAGGTTGAAAGACTAGCCTCAAAGGTAGAGGTTTGCAGGCATTCTAAGAGCAGGGAGGAATATATCCTGGTAGTATCTCAGCCTCGTCATATACCAGGCTGTAAAATAAGAACAGCCATGCTGGATCAGAGCAACTGTCCATCTAGTCCAGTATTCTAGTCACACAGGGGGCAACCAGCTAGTCACAAGAAACCGACAATCAGAACATGAAAGCATCTCCACCACTGTTTCCCAGCAACTAGAGTACATAGTCCTAAATTTCCCACCAATTAGCTTCTTGGGATGTCCCAGGAGTCTAGTTTTATGAAGGAGGAAAAAGTGTCTCCCTATCCATTTTCTCCACAACACAAAATCACCCCACCCTTGTCTTTTTTCTAAGTTAAATAATTTCAAATGCATCCCTTTGATCATTTTAGATGTCTTTCTCTGTACATTTCCCAAGTCTACAGTATCTTGTTTAGGTATGGTGACCAGAACTATACACAGTATTCTAAATGTGATCGCTCCACTGATCTGTTTAAGAGCAGTATGATTGGCAGTTTCATTTTCAGTTCCCTCCTAATTATGTCTAACATGGATTTTTCCTTTTCCACAGCAGTCACACACTGGGTTGATATTTTGATTGGACTTTTTTGTCAGTCACTGCTAACTGAGATTCCGTCAGTATATACTTGAAGTTAGGAAGCCTTTTTGAAGGGCATGAGGAACATGGAGATGATCTTCATGGAACATGGAGTAAACAACAGGCAAGATGGAAAGCTTCTACAGTGGCACCTCGGCTCATGAACTTAATCCGTTCCAGGTCTCTGGTTGTGACCCAAATTGGTCATGAGCCAAGTTAAATTTCCCTATAAGGTTCAATGT